TTATTTGTTCCCCACAAAATATTGTTTTTTTACTAAATGTTTGGATTTCTAAAATGATTGTGCACTGATTTTTCTCGAATAACTTTTGCTGCCAAATTATCCACTAACCTAGTTTATGATACATTTTTGTCATAGATTATAAATATACATAGGCCTATATTTTTTCAGATTTATTGTTTATTTTATTTTTCTTTATAATGAAGTAGTCTTTATCTAGTAGATTGTCAAAGAATGATTATCAGTCCACACACAGATATATAAATTCTACATTTATTTAAATGAGGGAAAAAAACTTCACTGGTATCGGATCGGTATCTGTATCGGCCAATACCGAACCCTAGGTATCGGAATCGGTATCGGAGGCGAAAAAGGCGGATCGGAGCATCCCTAGTAACTGATTGGAATCAAACCCCTGCATTTAGCTCTCACCAGCAAAATGAATCTTTGTTTGTTTGGGTGTGCTGCTAATTTTTAACCAGTTAGTCAATTCAGCGGTATTAAAACTCATCTGTGATCCATATCCTCAATTGTACCAGCAACTCCGATGACTCATTCTGCAATCTTCCACCTACTTCCCTTCCCAGGTGATTCCTGAACCGTTCCGAGTCCATCTCTCTCCCTCGGCTCTGTCTCTACATGTGCCCAGGGAAGCACGGATATAGCAGAGGGCCACTGTGCTGAAGGACTTGGTGACATCAGGAACTCCTGCCTTGGTTCCCTCCATTGTGTCTGATGGATCTCAGGCTTGTCTCATTGACGCTCGGAACACTACTTATTCTCGTGACCTCTGGGCCACAGCCATCCGTTGGACAGAAGGTTTACACCAACACATGGGCCGTCCACATCACAGGGGGAGAGCAGGAAGCCAACCGGATCGCTAGAAAGCATGGCTTTGTAAACCACGGGAAGGTGAGTCCTCTGTTTAGACAAGTAATTCTTATATGTTTGGAAAGCTCTCTTGGGTTGCACGTTCTTTTACATGCATGCATGTTTCATTCAAAATGAAAGTTGTTGGCTGCATGAGATGCCTTTTGCCAGCGTAGACTAGTTCTAGTAAGAATAGTGGGTAATGGTTCACCTCAAAATCAAAAGTAAAAGAAAAATTCATAAAGAAAATAGTTTTAGTTCCATTAAGGTTTATTTGCACTGTGATATTACTTGATTTTTTATTCATTTTTTTATATATATATAAATAACAGCAAAAAGTAAAGTCCAAAGAACAGATGCGATCACAATGAATACTTTATGAATGTACAATTTAAATATCAGTTATGGCCAAGCACTGGACTCACATTGTTTGACCCAAAATTATTCTTTGACCCAAAATTATTCTTTGTTTTATATTGGAAAAAGGGATTTTTTTCACATAATAGGAATATGTGCTTAATTAAAAAAAATAAAATAAACAAAATAATAATAATATCACTATGTATAAAATTTCATGTTCTGGAAACAGCCATCATTTAAAAAAAAAGTGAAATTTGATTAAATAATTTTACTATTATTATTATTATTTATTAAAAATGTTTTTCTTCTTTTCTTTTAATTTTGGGAACAAATGACCCGGACATTTTTTATTAGTCATGAGATCTACCACCTTAGGCTGAATTCAGGGTTATTATCAGTCATGATTTAGTGTGTTAAGTACAGTTTATGTTTACACGGTTTATTATTTGGGAGGATTTATGAAGCTGTGGTCAGTTAAAGTAAGATTTGACAGATTAACATGTCATTAAGATTAACTCTCAATAGAAGATAGATCTGCCTTTAGTTATTCAATTAAAATAAGATGTTTCTTTGTGTTGCTTCTGTTAGCTGTTGTATTAACATGAACATTTGTTAGCAGTACTGTTAGGCCTGTCACGATATCAACTTTTTGTTGTGCGATATATTGCCCCAGAAGTAATTGCGGTAAGCGATATTATTGTCATCTTAAAGACCATTTTATGCCACTGAATATATAATCATAATGTAACAGCATAATAATGCAAGAAGGCCTACACACTTCCAAATGACAACAAATTTTTAATTTTTAAGAATATTTAGATCATGGAAATTAAGTATCAAAATATTAGATACCTTAAAAAACTTGAATAAATAGTAAATAAACATTTTCTAACAAAAAGTGCAAAGTAACAAGTACAAAAAGAAAAAGAAAAGTGCACAAAGAACTTGTTTGGAGATTTTTCCATCTACAGATTTTTCCCTGACCTTCTTTTCTCTGTAAATGAAGGGTGCACACTATTGCTGAAAAAAACAATCACTACTTAGCAGTCAGATGTGCACAAAGGCACAGATCCCTAAACAAGACCATATCTGCAGATTAAACTTTTTTTGTTGAAGCATTTTTTAAATTTGAACTAGCGCTTCATGACTACACCATGTTATGTACGAGAAGCTGCAAAAGACACAGGCGCAAGTGGAATGTAAAAAACACGGTGACAATAATTTTTAAGTAAATATAATGGGCGATATATTGCGTCACCAAAAATGATTGAGGTCATGTACATATATTGCGCGATAAGTCGATATATTGATTATTGCGACAGGCCTAAGTACTGTTAGTAAATATGGTTGTCAGTCCCAAACACGTCCACATGACTTTGAAGTGAACTTTTAAAGCAAAGATCTCAAAATGTGCCACTGCACAATGATATTCTAATTATTAAAGATGCAGATTTGTCCTTTTCTTCCTCTCATTTCCTCATTCTCAGGAAATTCATGCATTTTGAACATTTCCTGCATGTTACGTCTGAATGCTCTGGCTCTGTCTGATGGAATGCATAAAACATCTTCCTCGTTCTCCGGTTGTCATTTGATATTCTCAGCTTGTAACAGGCCCTTGACTGTAAGCTTGAGCAGAATGAGCCGCGACCTCACTTCCTGACCAATGTACGTTTTTTTTTAACACATGCAGAGTTTAGGCTTTGTTCCGATTAGACTGTTTCACAACTTCTTACTTTTGAACGCTAATCAGATTTTTCAATCCCCATATGTAATTGAAAGCACATTATATAAGTCGATAGCCAATTCATTAGGTTAGATGATTAATTTAGATGTGTATATTACAGCCTGTCCTTCCAGTAATGGGTTCACTTTAAAAGACAAACAGCCCAGTGTCCAGATTGTACTGTAAAGCCAGGTGATGAATGGATCCCTGCACGCTTTGTAGGGAGCACTGAATATTCTGCGGTTAGTAATTGCTGAAAATGAATGCCTCGGGGTCTGTGCTGGCATACAGTCCTGTATCTCTTGAGAGATGAACTAATAGCGCTGCCATTTTTAGTGTTTGGAGGCAGTGCGTGTGCACGATTTTTAAAATGCAGCTTCTGTGCTCAGGTTCATGGCTTATTCATGACGACTCGTGTCACTGACTGATGGTCTCACAGCTGACCAAAGTTCATTACGACAAACATGTTTCTGCTTTTATCATTGGCAAAGCTGGCATTGGTTTTGTAGGACCAGCCAAATGACAAGTGGTGCATCATGGGTTTATTATTATTATTATTAAAATGCTAAGCGTGTCCATAAATGTGTTAAAAGTCCCTTGTGCTAGAACATCATAGAACTTCTATTTTTAAGTCCATTTCTGATGGGGGTTAATTAATAGTCTGCATAATTTCTTGGCACTTTACCAGACCCCTTTAATCCATGTTTAAGAACTAAACATTTAAATTTCATTTACATTGTAATTCTGTTTTGTAATTTGATGCCATGAACTTTCAAAACTGTTGCTGCTCACAGTCGTAAGTAGGGGAAGAAACTTGAAGCCACAAGATGCATTTGAGCTTGAAACCGAGAATGTTTTGTTGGACTGTCGAGCTGCTACGGATCACTGTAAATAACCTGTGATCTTTTGTAATAAGATTGAAGCGTGGTTTTCTCACTGCAGCTCTGCCGTACAGAAATCACACCTGGCTGAGCCCCAGACCCACATTGTGTGATGAGACATGCTGACAGCGCTGCTGGCCGAGTTTGAAGAGCGTATGGTTTGCTTACACCAGTGCCGGGGGCTTAACGTTTTTAACATGTCTCGTTTGTGTTCCAAGTGGAGGATTTCTTCTGCAGACTGAAAAAAGCTTCAGATTTTACTAACCTCCTCTTTTTCTTGTGCAGATATAGATGCTTTTTTAATAGTTTTTCCTTTACTCTCCTGTTTTTCTTAGGTGATGTAATGAGAGGCATGAATAAGTCGTTGATGTGCTCTCGAGCGTGGCAACATTTAAGTCATAGGTGAACTTGGAAAGCAAGTTTAAAAGTTGTCAATTTAATCTTGAGCATGATTTTAGTACCGTTTTTAGTGGTTCCAAAGGCAAACCTCTATTAAAAAGGCATTAAACTTTAGGATGTAACGCTTGTTATGCACATGAACGATACCTCAAATAATGCGGCTTGTGTGCTGTTACTTTTCTGAGCGAACAATGAAACGAAAATCCAAAAGACTTGCACTGAAGGAAGTCTTTGCCAGCTAGAGACCAGAATATCATAGTCAGTAATATTTCAAAAGGCAATGGATTTGCATAAAACTACCCACCAATTTCATTAGATTATATTGATGACTTGATGTGCATGTTAAAGTGAATGCATACGCTTCACAGCTTCACTGTTAATTAAGTAATCTTAAAAATATTTTAAGTTGTTCTGTTAAGGCTGAGGGAATGGACTGAATTAATAAATGAGGTGACTTGGTTATGTTATTGAGGTGTGCCATTATTAGATTTATAAAGGGAGGCTGCGAGTATGCCGAAGTCTGCAAAGAAAATATGGGTTATAGAGGTGGATACCTTCAAGTCCTGGACACCATCCAGATACCTCATCTCATTATTTTCCTGCTTGCTTGGTCAGGATTCAGTTTGTATGAGACTGCATGAGACCGATCCATCTGTTCCATCGTAGTTATCTTTGCTTTCATTCCCTTATGATCATAATTCACAGACGCTCCAGGGCCACGTCGTCATGGTGGAGCGCTTGTTTGTTGTTTTTGTTTTTTACATTTAATGCAGTATATTGTACATGGCAACTATCCCACACAGAACAATTATGGCTCCCACCCAAAATCACTTAGAATTGTCTGTGAGAAAATCCTTGTTACATTTAATTGATTATTATTTTGATTATTAATCCATTAGCTTGGATTACCAGAAATGAATCCGTTTGAAGCATTTCACAGCTGTGAAACCAGACGGTTACTTGCAGGTGTTTTGCGCTGAAGTCGAGGGAAAACAAGATCCTGGGCTGCAGCTGACGTTTTATGGCACGTAATTGTGCCAGGACTACACAGCAGTATATTTGCTCTAAGGCACAAGTTGAATTATAGGGGCTTGCGCGATATCATGATAATTAGCCACCGTAGTTGACTGACACAAAGTGTAAAGGAGTTACTTTGTTTAAAAGTTAAGAAATGCAGTTTAAAAATATTAGTAACAGGTTTAAGAAGATGTCTGATTAAAGAAAGCATGTATGAAATGAAATGCCAGTCAGAAATGTTCTCGTTTGCAGTTGCATTTAGTTCCTTGCCTACTAACCTACATCCTGCTATACTTATAAATTAAAGTTCAAAGCCACATTCACTAATTCATGCGGTCCTGCTGTTTGCTTTTTCTCCATGTTGTTCTTTTTTTCATGACTAAGAGACTCGTTTAGCAGTTCCTGTTACAGAGGCCATGTTGCTTTTCTACAAGAGGACAGTTGATATTTCTAATGTTTTATTCACAGAAGAGCTTCTAGCTTTTTATTCAAGCATATAGGTTAACATGAGAGAACTTTTGAGTTTCATCAGTTGTTTCCTGATGAGCAACCGTCAGAAAGGCTACAAGCATCGTTCCTGGCTCAAATATTCTGCTGTGAGATTTTAACTTTTGATGAGCTTGAACTCTGTTCAGTTGGAATTAATAATCAAAGCTTTACAA